GATAAAGTCTAACCAACTCCTTCCCTTAATATATATACTGATCCCCAGTTGGAGAAATGGCCCATTCCAAACTGGCCGATCTAGACTCTTAAAAACCATCTCCTGCTCCTCTTCGCGGCTACCTGTTGCCATGGTGATGAGGACAGGCTCCCGCTGAGGCTCCGGCTGGGGTCGCAGCAGGCCGGAGAGGCTGAAGACGGTGCTGGATACACTGACCATCAGCCAATCCCCGTCCAGAGTCCGCGGGCAGTTCCGCTGCGGAACCAGATCTCTAGCCCACTTCGCCGAGGCGGGGAACGGGATGAAGCGGCTCATCTCGCAGTGTGGGGCGGAGGCGTCTGCGGGGTACCGCCTGAAAGCTGCCAGGAGCATTCCCGCGGGGTCTGCGGAACCGAAAAGTGTGTGACCGTAGCCCCGGCTGGAAACTGAGCTAATTGTACGCAGGCCGGAAGGCACAGACTAGCAGAGTAGCGAGTGACTTAGAGAGCACCCAAACTTATTTACAAAAGGGAAAACCGAGGCCCGGGGTCCCTACGTGAGCTAAGAAGAGGCAATAGATGCAGGTGAGTCCCAAGACTCACCATCCACCTTGAAGTATAGCTTAGGGTCAAGATCTGGCCGGGGCCGTGGTCCCCTGGGTCCATGGCGCAGTAGCAATGCGGCAGGTTTCTTGGACAAGCCACCCCCACCTGCATCCTCCACGAACCAGCACTCGATCGCCTCTGGTCCAGCCGAGACGACGGTCGCCAGGCCTGGGGGGAGGGGCTCCGGTGACCAGGCGGCCCCAGGGTGTCCCGCCACCGGCCCGCCCCTTCAGACCCGCCACGGGACCACCTCCCTCTCCTTCCCAATGTGTCCCTTCCTAAACAAGAAGAAATGGGGCCCGCTCACCCAGTGCCACGGCCACGAGCAGGGGCAGAGGCTTCATGGTGCTGCGATCTCCCCTACCAAGTCTCTTCTGCTGCCTTTCACTTTCATTTTCCTTCCAAGGCCCGGGTGAGGAACTGGAAAGTCCCAGCTCCGGTCAGGTGAGGGCGTAACTGCACGTCGCCCACAAGTGGCCCAGACAGCGATGCCGAAACCCTGCCTCCGGCTCTCCAACCACTCCTCGCCCTGCACCCACCCCCGTGGATCACCGCACAGCGCCCACTTTGAGCCCTTTAGCAGCCTAGGCTCCGCCCTCCGGCTGCGTCCTCGCGCGTTTCCCAACCTGTTGCCAGGTCCCGGCGAACACAGAGGGGTGTTGGGAAGCCAAGTGAAGTGACCAATAAATATTTTAATCACCGTTAAAAATTAAGACCTATGCTACGCGGCTCACTCCTTGTTGCCACCCCACTTTCATGACAACCCGATTTGGGATCCCCACGGCAAGAGTGGGATAGTACAGAAATAAGGGGCGCATCCTTCCAGAGGAGGAAGGACAATCGGTCGAAGGCCTCATCCCACAACACAAACACAGACCTCAGGCACAAACTAGCACAACCTGACTGTTGGCCCTGTGACTCCAGGATGCTCAAAAGGTCCCTTTTCCATCCCCCCACCGTGTTAGCTCCGAGAAGGTGGGGCTCTGGTGTGCTCAAGGGAGAAGAAAAAAAAAAACGGCTTAGTTCAGGAGGTATCGAGGAGGGAAGGGGCTGAGGAATAAATAGAACGGGCTGGCGATAGTGCAACCTGTGCCCTTCTCTAGAATATATACAAGTCCACAGAGACAAGGAAGACTGCTGGGGGGGAACCCCCGGGAGCCACGCTGCCCTTGGGCTAAGCTCCCGGATTGCCTGCCCTTCAGTGTGCTGCTCCTCCACCCCCACTGAAATCCATCTCCACTTTGTGCACACTGGGTGGAGACCAGACGCGCCTGTGGGACGGGGGTGTGGCCGAATTTGCCTCATCGCCACTGCCCCCGCCCACTGCGGAAGACTCCCTCTTGGGTTGCAATGCTGGCCCAGAAGGTGCCCCGGGACCAGGTCCCGGTCCGGCCCCGCCCACGCCCATCCGGTGCCGGCGCTCACAGTGTCCCCGGTGTCGCATGAAACTGTCCCGCCACATGAACTTCTTGGCGCAGACACTGCATTCGTACGGCTTGAGGCCTGTGTGCGTCTTCATGTGCTCTGTCAGGTGGTGTTTCATCTTGAACTTTTTGTTGCACACGGGGCAGTCAAAGGGTCGCAGGTTGAGGTGCATATTCACGTGCCGGTCCCGCATACTCTTATGTGAGAAAGCTTTCCCACAGTGGCACAGGAAGATCTTATTACCGTCGCTGTTGCCTGTCCCTCCGGGGGCCCCGCCAGAGCCACTTGGCATACCCAGCCCCACCGTAGAGGTGCCCCCCAGGGTCACTGCCCCGTGTTCTGCTGTATTCCCTGGTGGCTGACCTGGTGCCTGCGAAGAGGAGGATGGGAAAACCAAGATCTGGTTGCCCGGCACATCCAATGGAAGGAGGGGGCGTGGAGGGTGGGTGAGGGCATAGGAGGAAGGGGTGGGTCCTCCGGGGTCATCAAGCCCTGTCCCCGCACCCCCACCCTCATAGGGGCCAAAGTCATTGGAGGATTCGCAGAAGTTGACCTGTTCCTCCCCCTTGTCGGCAGGCTCCGTCAAGGTCCGGACGTCACTGATACTGAGGGTAGCCTCGGGCTCTCCCCCTGCAGGGACCCCAGAGCCACCCCCCAGTTCTTCATCCTCGTCATCCTCACAAGTCAACACCAGATCTTCCTCCTCTTCTTCATCCTCTAGATCGGGGTCTTGGTGGATCAGAGACGCTGGCGCGGGGCAATTTCTAGCTCGCTTCACATACACCCAGTGTTTCTGCGGCACCGCGCTGGCAGGCGTGCAGTTAGACCTCCGGTGCCCAGTCCCGGGGGCCACCGCCCCTCTCCCATCCCCACCGTCATCGCAGAGCTCATCCGCCTCCAGCAGCAGCTTCCCAGAGGTGGTACCCGCACTGCCAACCACGGGGACTGGGAACACGGGGCCACCATCTCGACGGTTCCCGCTACCCGCTGCCGAGGCCACAAACGCATCCTGGGAGGAAGAGGAGAACTCAGTCGACTCCCGGGGGCTGAAGTAGTTGCTACTGCTGGGAGACTGATTCTCACTGGCCCGGCTGGAGGTGTGGGAACGTACGGAGCCTCCCGTGGCGGGGGCGACAGTCCCCCCACTCCCTGACGGGACACTGGCACAAGGGACAGAGGCAGAGGGGGCCGCGGCAGTCGTGACAGTGGTCGCAGTGGCTGAGGATCGACCCTCCCGAAGGAGTTCTGTGCACTTGTCCACTATGTGCCACATCTGGAGGACCGACCCCACCGTGAGGAAGTTGACAATGTCGGCCGCAGCCATGCTCAGGCGGCCCGTGTACGCCGAGGCCAGGACAGTCTCGAAAGCACCCGGGTCCATGACGCTTGGCAGCGAGATGGACGTCATGCCTTTGAGTAGGACCTGGTCGTGGAAGTAAGGAGAGGAGGCAGCCAAGACGGCCCGGTGAGCACGGAACTCCCGTCCCTGCACGCGGATGGACACATCGCAGAGCTGACCCTGGAGACGCTGCTGGTTGAGGGACTCCAGCAGAGCACTGGTCACCTCAGGGAAGGACACGTGTACCACTGCGGCTGCAGGCAGAGGCAGTGGTGGTGGAGCCAGCGACAGGGGCAGTGGGAGTGTGGCCCCGCTGGGTGACAGAGGAGACGGCTCCATGTCGAGGAAGGAGATACCCCCCCAGCCACAGGAACAACGGAAAGAAGAGGGCGGCCGGGGGGGTCTCTAGGGGAGAAAAAAAAGAATAATAGCATTTTAATAAAAAAAAGACATAGCCCATCACAGCATTAAAAACAAAAAACACAAACCCACTGAGATTGGTACACCTGTCAACCCCATGGTACTGAAGGGGCAACTGAGGCTCAGAATTATTAAGCAACACATCCAAGTACACCAATCAGACATCAAACCGCAGCGCTAGCAAAGAAAGTATTCCAACTCCGAGTTCAGTACTCCTTCCCGGGTCAGAAAATAGGGGGCTCTCAGGGAATGGCTGTCTGTCCTAGTCTACAGCCGCCCCGACAGCCTCACTTTCAAAAAACGCCCCTCCTGGGTGACACCTACCAATTTTCTCGGGATGAAGGGGGTGCCCTCCACAGTTCTCAAGCTCCGCCCCTGACAACCCCCGGTTAATCCCCGACTCCGCCCCTTCAGGACCCTCCGGGGCTCCGCCCCCTAGATCCCGGACCCCGCCTCGTGTTTGCCCCCGCCCCCGAACCCCGCCCCCCACTCCTCCCCAGTCGCGCCCTCGGATTGTTCCCCGGCCTGAGGGGGGGCCCCAGCCCCGCGCGTCCCCGCTTACCTGGCCGCGCGCCCCGGGCCCCCCCTCACTCGGCGACCAGAGCCGCAGCCCCGGCCCCTCCCGCCGCCATCTTGTGCCGACTCCCTCCGCCCTCCGCCTCCACTCCGCCTCCCGGACCTGCGACCTTAAAGGCGCAGGCCAGCACCCCTCCTGTGCTGCTGGGCAAAATTTGACCGACACAGACACTTTTCCTTTAAAGGACTGGCTCTTCATTCCGCCTTAAAGGTACCAGGTCCCCTCTGCGGCCGAGGACTCAGGAACTGGTTCGGCCGAAGCCTTCGTTCCCCTTTAATCCTACAAGCCTACCTTTTCCCATTGACCAGTACTGGCTTCCGCTCCTCAGGCTCCACCCCGAGCTCTGGACATTAGCTTGCTCGCGGGATCTAACAGCCCTTTTCCCAGCACATGACAGAACCGACGCCCCGCCCCCTTCCTCCGGGCCTGGATTGGCCAAATAACCTGGAGTCAGCCCCTGATTGGCCTTTTCACTCATACCGCTCAAACTGAGAAAGTAGAGCGGCTTAGGAAGGCTTCGGAAGCACTGATCTTTTCAAGTGCCTTGGGGAAGCTCAAGCAAGGGAGAGGACGAGGGTGCCCTAAAGAGATCTGCGAGGGCCAAGCTGGAAAGGGCAGACCCAGGTGACAGCTGTCACAGGAGAAAGACAAAGAATACAATAAAAAGAAATTCATTGTTTATTAATGTGTCTGTGTAAAACTTAAAACATCTGATTTTTTTGTTATTGTTTTTTGTTTTTTGTCAAAAGAAACACCACCAAAACGCGAGGAGCTCCGTCCATCTTTCGCTCCGTCATCTTCCAGCAGCCATACAAAACCTTCTGGATGCAGGGAGTGCAGGGACTGCTAATCAGAGTCTGAGAGCACGATGATCTCCTCAGGATCACACTGCGTGGCCACGCTCGTCTGCAGACAAGTCAAGGAGAAGGAAGGGTGAGCCAGGCATGGTGGCCCACACCTTTAGTCCCAAGGCTCAGGAGGCAGAGGCAGGCTGATATCTGAGTTTGGGGCCAGCCTGGTCTACATACAGAGTTCTGGGACAGTCAGGGCTACACAGAAAGGCCCTGTCTCAAAAACAAAACAAAGCAGGCTGGAAAGCTGGAAGATGGCTCAGCCACTCAGCACACTGCTGCTTTGCAGAAGACCTGTGTGCTGTGTCCATAACTCACATGGCGACTTACTGCCCTCTCCAGATCTAGAGGACCAGCCGCCCTCTCTGGCTCCATGAGCATCAGACACAAATGTACCACACAGACACACACACCAACAAAACACCTACTTACATCAAATAAATCAGTTTTTGTTTTACCTGGGCTATGTAACCTTGACTGTCCTGGAACTCACTGCGTAGACCAGACTGTGGCCTTGAAGTTATAGAGATCTGTGTGCCTCTACCTCCCGGGTAAGCCACTATGCTGGGCAAAATAAACCGAAACACACACACAGGCACACACACAACCGTCTTTGAGACTTTGTGGGTTCTTTTTCCTCCCCTTTATCTGTCTCCGTCTCTAGATAGGAAAGAAGTAAGGTAGAGGAGACAGACAGGAATCTAATGTCTCTCTTTTTGTTTCTTCTTCAAGCAAGACTAACAAACTACAACCAACCCTTCAACTACCACCAACCATGCCTCTTGGAGGCGGCGGGGAGGGGACTGTCTACCATTTATATGCTCTCCTGAAAAGTTCCCAGAATTCCAAACATCACATCACACAACCCAAGCTACGGCCTATGGCTGGCAAAGCCACACCTCCACTTGAGCTCGAGGCCAGTCAGTGAGCGGCGGCAGTCAGCTGGAAGCAACCACACATCCCACACACGGGTATAAAATGAAAACCTATTTCACTGTCTTTTGGTTGGTTGGTTGGTTTTTGGGTTTTAGACATAGTTTCTCTGTGTAGCCCTGGCTGTCCTGGAACTCACTTTGTAAACCAGGCTGGCCTCAAACTCAAGAGAATCAAAGGCATGAACCACCACCACCCAGCTCTGAGTTTTTATAAAGAAACCAAAACTCCAAAATTGTCACTACGCATGCACGCACGCACACACGCATGCACCCATGCATGGGGCAGGTGGGAAAACAGAAGAGCAGTAGGTGCGACACCCACAGAGAGTGAAAGGGTGAGGACGAACTGTCAGGACACCGCCCCAACCTACCTTATAAATACACGGCCGGAGAGACCGAGACTGGGGGATCTGGAGAACCAGGGATGGCGAGGGGCTGCACAGGGAGCTGGTCACCAGCTCATGGCTGGGAGAGTCCACCCTTGTGGAGGAGTCAGCGACAGGAGCCACAGGGGCCAGGGTGGGAGGCAGAGAGGGCAGGAAGCTTGCCCTCTGCTCACTGTCCTGCTGTGCCAGCTCCTTTTTTATATAGCTAAGGACAGAAGAGAAATGACAGAAAGGGCCTGAGGCCACAGGGAGACCTAGGACCTGCCTCCTTGCCTGCCTTCTTCCTCACCCAATGTTACCTGTTTTCTAATGGTCCAGATTCCAGTTGCTTCTTTTCCTTCCGAAATCTCTTGTTTGGGGGACTGTCATCGTGCCAAGTGTGAGAAGAGACACGCCCATTGAAGGACGTAGAGGTAACCACAGCTGCTCCATTTTCCAAGATGGTGGGGAGGGAATCTTCTGACCTTTTACTGGAAATGTCCCTTTCCTCTGGGGAAGAGGTGGTATCCTCGGGTAAAGCTTCAATCTCCAGCCCAAAACGCTGGGACACAGGACTCTCTTCCCCCAGGAGCAACAGGTCTTGGAGCTTTTCTCCATTGCTTTCAACATCGGTGCTGGGAGGGTCCAGGAATGCTCCTGGCAGTGATGCTGTTTTCTCTGTCAGTCCTCTGTTTTGCTGCTCCTCCGGGGACCGGGGCCCTTCTGTGGGTTCTGAGTTCCTTCTAGGGAAAATGTGCGAAGGGGATGTGGGGCTCTTCTCTCCTTCATTATCTGGAAAAGAAAAGGGGAGGGGTGGATGAGGAACAGGGATTGAGGGGCCTGTCCAAAGGACGGAGGAGGAGGAAGGAAAGGCTCAACAAGGAACTCATGTCCAACAGAGCAGAACTAACACCACAGGGGTGCTCCCCACAGGGGTGCTCCCCACAGGGGTGCTCCATTTACACATATACCTCCTCCTTCCTCTTCTTCATCATCCCCCTGATCTTGCAACTGTTCTAGATTCTCATCTTCATCTTCAGTGACCTCGTCTTCCTCTTCCTCCTCTTCTTCCTCTTCCTCTTCCTCCTCCTCCTCCTCCTCATCATCATCATCACTTTCCTCGTCATCCCCGTCGTCATCAGTCTCAGCTTTGGAGGTAGTAGGGCACTCCTGGGATGCCATTCCACTAGGACCCTGGGGGAAAGAGGAGTCTCTCTGATGGAATCCCTTGCCCCAGAGGTTTTGGTAGCAGGAGGACTTGACTCTGGGACCTCACTAACACTGGGCAAGCATGTCCCCAGTGTCCTTTCCTTGCTTTCTAGGCTGCTCCAGGAGTCACCCTGGAGTCCCTGGTGGCACTGCAGGGTGAAGGCAAGATCTGACAGGTGCTAACCCTTCCATACCTCACCAGACTCCGAAGAGGCTTTGGGGAGGTCTGACGACTGGGAAGCAGTGCCTAGGAGCCGGGCCCGTCTCTTCTGTCTCTCGCCCTCCTCCGTCTTGTCTTGCATCATAGCATACTTGGAGATGACCTCATCCAGCCGGCTCATGGCCAAGGTTCGATTCTCCCGAAGGCGGCGAGCCAACGTGGGATCAGACAGGGCAGGGTCAATGCCTGTGTGGGAAAACGGTCAGAGCACCCAGTTCCCATCCCTACAAGGGATTTAAGATGGCTCCATTCAACCTGAAGGAGGCGTCCCAGGAGCGTCCTACCTGGCCTATAGTCATCTGTGAGGTGGCAGCCGAAGTTGTAGATGAGGTCCAAGTGCCGCCGCTCCTGCAGCCTGACCCCCACGTCACGGAAGGCGTCCTGAGCCAGGAGCTGAAGCTGCTGCCTGGGGAGGCCCAGACTGTGGCGGGTTGCTGCCTTCTCCACCGCTCTCAGCACATCACCATAGTCCGGGAAGGTGTCAGGGCCCGGCTTGTTGATGAGCCGCTCAATGCGCCTGTTGACCTCCGGGTACCGGGTGCCGCGGTACGGAATTCGCTGCTCTATGACCCGTCCAGTCAGGGAAGAGCAGTCCTTCAACTCACACAGGCGCCCGAAGAGGCGGATCAGTTTCCTCTTCAAGCGGGCCTCCTGCAAATACGAGGAGTCTGGGTCATCCAGCTCTGACAGATCCAACTCCTTTTCCTGCAGCCGCCGGATCTCCGCTACATACAGTGCCAGCAGCTGCTCCAAGCGCTGGATCTGCCTCCGGGAACCACGAGTCCTTGAGGCCTCAGAGGCGGTGCTTTCAGTGTTTGTAAGGTTGGAAGGGGGATCCGTGGGAGGGTTATCACCGGCCGACTCGCTGGCCTCCGAGGCTGCAGGAGCTAAATTCAGCTTCTTCTTCATCGAGTGAGCTTTAAGCACGGTGCACAGCTCGTTGATGTAGACGTACAGCTTGGCCGGCCGGTTCCGAGACCGAGACAGAACCCTGGAGAGGATGTTGCAGAACTCTGCAGAGGCCAGAAACACAGACTGGGCACGCTGCTGCAGTTTGTGGAGGAACGGAACCACCTCAGGGTGGTCTGCTGTCTGCATCTTACACAGCTCAAGGAACTAAAGGGTTCAAGGGAAGGGACAGAAAAAAAACCTGGAATCAATGAGGAAGCCAGAACAATCAGCCAATCAAACGCCCCTTTCCCTAGGGTCTGCCCTATCATGTCAGGGTGGGTCACATCTTTTTTTTTTTTTTTTTTAAGATTTATTCTATATATGAACACGCTGTCACTCTCTTCAGACACACCAGAAGGAGTGCATCAGATCCCATTAGAGATGGTTGTGAGCCACCTTGTGGTTGCTGGGAATTGAACTCAGGACCTCTGGAAGAGCACTCAGTGCTTTTAACCACTGAGCCATCTCTCCAGCCCAGTGGTTCACACTGTTCCCATCTTTAATCCCAGCTGTCAGGAGGCAGAGGTAAGTCCAAACTCTATGAGTTCAAGTCCAGCCTCATCTAGACAGTTCCAGGCAGCCTGGGCCACAAACTGAGACCCTTATCTCAAAAGCAAAAAGGAGACTTCCCTGAATCATACCTCCTCAAACAGCTTCTCGTTCTCCAACTTGTAGCACTTCCGGCTACCTGAGTTACTGTTCCCTCTATCCCCACGGGGCTCGGAGGGACCGGAGGGACCGGAGGGACCAGAAGCTTCTGGTCCTGGTGAGACAGGATTGGAGGGTAGGTTGGAGGGCCCTGGCTGCACGGCTCCTTCATCCTCGTCGTCGTCGTCCAGAACAATGATGCTGTCATCGGTGGCCATGGGGGAATCAAATCTCCCTGAGGGAGGAAAGTGTCGGAACGGTCAGAATTCTCGAAAGGGAAGGGAGCCTAGGGAAGAGCCCCTCCCGCTTAGTCCCAGCCCATCAGGTACCTCGGGTTTCAGAACAGCTTAGTCCTTTCCAAGCTGTCTTCAACGCCTGTCTTCTGCAACTATCAGTCTCAAGCAGTTCTGGGGGGAAACCTCCCGATCATCTTAAATCCTCACCCAGAACTCCACCCACCCCCCAGTCAATTTCCTGTCTTTCGGTTGCGTTTTCCCCGATCCCTGTTAGCTGGTTACGTTTTCTTATTCCCAATCCAACGGGGTAGAAGATCCCACGCCCCGCTGCTGTTCCAGTTTTTCTGTCTACAGGAACCAACATCCCTGTCGATACCACCTCGTGCGTTTTCTTACTCCCAATCCAATGGGGTACAAGATCGCACGCTGCTGCCTCAGTTTTTCTGTCTACAGGAACCAACACCCTGTCGATACCACCTTACGGGTTTGCCCCACCTCTCGCCCTCAACCACGACAGTCCTCTCCGACTTCTTCCTAAACTCCAACTCTTAGACACCGAGGCTCAAGGGTTTCCCCTCAAGAGCCCGGTGTCCCCCCACGCTCCTACAGTCGTCCCCACGCTCCACCGACGTCAAGCCGGGACTTCAGGCTGGAGGTTTTTCACCTCCAGTCCCCTCCCTCTCTCACCGCACCCTGGTTTCCCCCCCATTCTCTGTGACCTGTAACCGACGACGAGCCCACCCACCACTCGGCATTCCTAATGTCTGGGCTTCCAGCCCCAGGCGGGGACAGTCTCCAGCCTCAGCTTCCCGCCAAGTAACCCTCTCCGCGTTTCAGCCCTAGGCCGCCACACTCCCCTCCAGGGCTAGCAAGGTACCATACAAGCTCGCCCCTCAGACTCGTCAGCCCGGGCCCTGCCGATGCCTCGGCCGCCGCCACCCCCTACGCCGCCACCTCCCGCTCCGCGCACGACCCGGCCCCCACCTCAGAAACGGTCTCACGAGGCTCCCCCTCGGCGCGGACCGCAAATCCTCACAAAGTTCCCTCCGCCTTCCTTTTTCCCCCCACCCCCACCTCAGGCCCTACAACGGACCGGAAGCCGCAGAGTCTCCGCCTGCAGCGGCCGAGGGCGGCCATGTTGCCGTACGGAACCCAGGACTCTTGGGACCGGAAGTGACGCATGGCCCCGCCCACCTAGGCCGCCGCTCCGGATACGCGGACGCTCGAGGGGGCGTGGCCTAGGACCAGGTAGATGGAGCGCGCCATGTTGCCGTACGGCACCCGGCCTCTTAGGCCAGGCGTGGAGCTCTCTGCACCAGGAGCTTGCCCGGAGCCACTCGGCCAATCAGAAACTTCCTGTCTCAGACCTGCCTCCACCACCCCACGCTACCGGTGGGATGCGGAAAAGACCCATCCCTCCATCCTAGGAGGAGGAAGGAACCCCAAGCAGGTACCTAAGGAGCTAGTGTCTCTATGGCTGTGCAGGACTCCAGGGAAAGAAGTAAAATATCTTCTTTTCCTGCCCTGGGTTGGTGTAAGCCTGGAGCTCCCTCTCCGTTGCTCTCCCTCGAGCCCCGTGTTCCACCGCCCGGAGGTGGCGCGCACATCGAGACTGTCCAGCCCCGGCCTCCTGGGTCAGGTGCACACACGCACGCGCACACACACACACGCAAACGAATGAGCACACCATGCTGCTCGAGTGAGATATTGTTATTATTGCAGTCGGCGACCGGCAGCTCAATCTGCACCACTGACGTAATGACCCAGGACCCTGGTGGGAACCGGGGACCCTCCTGTTTCTCCGAGGGTCGTCCTGACAGTTCAGAAGGCAGTGCTTCACGTCGGGGGTTTGCAGGGCACGAGGCGGAGCGCGGGATAACCTGGCGCGGGCTTGGGGAGAAGCCGTGCAAGCTGCCGCTGGGAGCGCTGGGAAACGAAATGAGGCTCGTAAAATGCCGCGGGGTGTCTCCTCCTCCTGGAGAGCTGCGGAGAAAAGGAAGAGGGGGGAAAACCACTGTGATGCCCGCCGGGCCCAGGGTGGGGAGGCGAGGTCTGCAGGTGTGCTGATGAGAAAGCCTGATAAGTCTACACCCTTCGCGGGGAGACCGCATCACCGCAGCCTTCCTCGGTGGTGGACATCTTGCCAATTTGCAGAACCAAGAATGAACGCCAGCTGCTCTAAGAGGACCCGAACTTCAAATTTAAACCCACCCTCCTCGCTTCGTCTTCTGGGCTTACAGCATTTCAATTGGGGCGGGGGGGTGGGGGGAGCTCTCCAGTGGCTAACCGGACTCTAGAGATAATGAAGGATTTAGTTTTCATATCCTTGGGTTTCTCAAAATAGGTTTCCCCCATTGCTTGCTCTTGCCTTCTTGCTCCTCTCGCCCCTTCCCCGCCCCCTTATCTCTCCACATGGTCATGGCTGGCCTCTACTCCTCTACTCTCTCTCTCTCTCTCTCTCTACTACCCTCTCAAGTCTCCTCCCCATGCCTTGAATAAACTCTATTCTATACTGAAAAAGCAAAGGGGTTTCCCTGAGTGAAGGCCTGAAATGAAGGTTCCCCATCTCTTCACGATTATTTATATTCTGTCTTATGTGTGTGCCAGTGTAAGTCTACACGCACGTCATGAGTGCAGGTGCCTGCGGAGGCCTTTAAGAGCACCTGTTGCTCCTGCAGGCTCAGTTTCCAGCGCCTGCCTAGTGTGACTCACAACCATCTGTAACCCTAGCTCCAGGAAATCCAATAGGCTTGCTAGTGGTGAACATACATGCATGCAGACAAATCATCCATACACATAAAGCAAAATAAGTGTATTTTTAAAATTAATCGTTGTAAAAACCGACAGCAAGCTGAGGGAACATGGAAGACTGGGGTGGGGCGGAAGAAGTTAGGATGTGAACGATGAAGAAGAGGTCTGTGAAATGCTGTCACCTGGACAAGGCTGGCTTATGGCACTGACCAACTCACAGAAGCCCAGGTTACCTTCGCCAGGTAAGAGCTGTCAAGATTCCATCAGAAATGAGGTAGGGGGCTCAGGAGGATGTCCACTCATCTCTGAAGAGCTAATATCAGTTAATTGTTGAGGGAGTCTTTTTCTGCCCTGGTAAATCCAGGGAGCTCCAGTAAGTGACCCCTAGGTATACTCATGCAAATAACCCTAATTAAACTGACTCACAAAACAAAAAAGACAGGGAAGTAGAATCAGCTTTAAGGAATAAAGGCTCCCCTGGATGCCACCTGGAGGTGGTGGCGGTGCCGGCCTTTAATCCCAGGACTCAGGACGCAGAGGCAGGCAGATCTCTTGAGTTAGAGGCCAGCCTGGTCTACAGAGTGAGTTCCAGGACAGTCAGGGCTATACAGAGAAATCCAGTCTTGAAAAACAAAAATAAAAGCTTCCCTGGGAGTGAGACAGGGATTCAAGAGAGAAATGAAGGGGCTGGAGAGATGGCTCAGTGGTTAAGAGCACTGACTGCTCTTCGAGAGGTCCTGAGTTCAATTCCCAGCAACCACATGTTGGCTCACAGCCATCTGCAGTGGGGTCTGATGACCCTACATTTCACATTGTTTGATCCATTCTGTTCTTGCCAACAGCTCAAAGTAATTTTATGGATCCAGGATACTTTTATGTATGTGGAGTTGGGCTTAAGAAGGTCCTGACCCAGAGCAGGGCTGGGAGTCTCAGGAAGGAGGATGTGGGGGTCTTTGAAATGTATCACAGTGGATACTGGTGCCTAGGAACTAGAAAGCATGGGCTCTGATATGCTGAGAGGCACACCAGACACAAGTTACTATGGAGCCTTATGTCCCTTTTTCCAGAGACAAGGGAAACAAATTCTTCAGTCAGGAACCTGTTTCACAAGTTCCTGGGGGGAATTCTGGCCTTTTAACTGTCAGAGACACTTCTAGAGTCCAGTTGGAGGTAGGCCAAGACTCATTTCTGGACATCTGCACAGCCTAAGACCTAATATGTCCCAGCTGCATCGCTCCTGGATAGGTACTTGAAGAAACCTAAGACAGAACACCACAGAGGCACATGTGTATCCATATTTGTTGCTGTAGCAATCACAATAGCCAAAAGAATGGAAGCAGCCAGCCTGCCCATAAAACAGACAAGATGTGGTACGGGTATACAGTGGAGTCTTACAGCTGGGAAGAAAACCTAAACTGTGATACTTGCAGGAAAACAAGAAGAAATGAAATACATTCTTAAGCAAAATAAGCTATTCAAAAGGAAAAATTACACCTTGTATCCTCTCATATGTGGGTTCTGAAATCACACTTATATACCACATGTTTATAAAAGTAGAGAGGTCTGTGTGTGTGTGTGTGTGTGTGTGTGTGTGTGTGTGTTGCAACCTGAGTCTGGTCCCCAGCACCCATTTCAGGTGACTCACAGCCTCCTGTAATTCCAGCCCCTGGGGATCCGACACCCTCTAGACTCTCTGGGCACCTGAACTCCAGTGTACCTACCCACAAACAGACACGCAGATAAAGATCATCTTAGAGTGTTGGCCTTAACTATCTCTTCCTCCCCAATCTCTCTAACATCTTTCTCACCTCAGTAGCCAAGACACGTTGTCTATAAGATGTTCACAGTTCCAGAGCTGCCTCCTCCTCGGGGGTCCTCAGGAGCCAGTCCCGAAACTTGGCCCATGGCAGTGGCCACAGCAGTTTGTAAGCAGCCTCCAGCATCAGTAGTGTCAGGAAGAGGACCAAGAAGGTGAGGAAGAGCTTGTCCAACGCCCGCCGCAAGGGCCCCCGAGGAGGAGTGGGACCCTGGGCGAATGCTAGGAATATGTCTGCCTCCTCCACACCACCCTCTTCCTCCTCTGCCATTTTCAAGCACAGCGGGACAGCTGGCTAGTTCAGTGTGTGGATTGGAAGGCCTGGCTCAGCACTGCCCGGATTAAAGGGTACAGGCTCTGATGATCCTGCAGCTCCTGGGCTTGACCCTAATTCAAGAACCCAGGTAGAAAGGAGAAAAAGGCTTTGAGTTTGGGGACAATTTCTAAATTTCTTTCTTTTTTTTTTTTTGGTTTTTCGAGACAGGGTTTCTCTGTGTAGCCCTGGCTGTCCTGGAACTCACTCTGTAGACCAGGCTGGCCTCGAGCTCAGAAATTCGCCTGCCTCTGCCTCTTAAATTTCTTTATAAGTTTTATTACTTTATGAGCATGTTAACTCTCTCTCCCTTCACCTGGGTTCCAGGGATGGGTCAGGGTGTCAGGCTTTAACCGATGAGATGTCTCTGCGGCCCAGGACAATTAAATCACGTCTTCGTCTGATGTGACAAGTCAGGCTGTACATCCAGTTTTACCATATGTAACTCTGCCTTGGAAACCAGAAACTCGCCCGTTAACTGGAACGTACAGGCATTCCTGGCCTCAAGGGTCAAGGGTCAGTTTACAGCCTCTCCTGACAGAGAAGGAGCAAGCAGCTGTAACAACAGGTCAGGGTGGGTAGGGATGTGGCTTCTACCCCCCAGTAAAGAAGGGGAAGGAATACTTAGCCCACCCAGGCTGGTTCCCTCCTGTCAGATTTCTGTGGGTGGTCTTCAGATTGGGAGACTAAATAAAACCTAGCCAGGCTGAATGACACATGTCTGAAATCCCAACATTCAGGATGCTGGGGCAGGGGGATCAGGGTCACTGAGTGCTAGGTTTTATAAAAAGATAAGGAGAGAAGGAATATATTTGGTGGAGGTACGGTAAGGTATGAGGGAAGGGGGTGCTTCTTGGGGCCCATGCTGAGGCATCCCTTCCCCCTGAGGGACCAGTCACACAGTATAGTACAGAATAGAGTTTATTCAGGGCATGGGGAGTGCAGTTGAGGGAGTAGAGACAGAGAAAGGCAGAGAGAGAGAGAGAGAGGAGAGAGAGAAAGAGAGAGAGAGAGCTCAATGGATCAGGAGGCCACATGCAGAGGGCCCAAAGGCACCCTGTAAACTCACTTGTTAAATTGAGGGCAAGGGCAAGGTGTCCCAGCATGATAGGGTGGTAGCTGGTCTTTGCCACTTTGTGGGTTCTTTCTCTTACTCTTTCTCTCCCTGGTTTCACCCCCTAACACTAGATAGGAGAGAAACAAAGATAGTGATGAGAAAGGAATTAGGAAAATCCCTGAATCTAATTTCTTTCCTTTTGTTTCTTCTTTGACCTACAGCTACTAACAAACCAAAAACAACCTCCCCAAATGACAAATGAATACCCCCACCCCACCCCTAAGGGCTCTAGCATCTATATACCCTCTGAAAAGTCTCCAGAATTCTGTCACACAGTCACAGAAATTATCTGCAGCTGGCAAAATCATGCTTCTGCTAGAGCACGAGGCAAATCATAGTCAGCTGAGTCAGACAGCCTGAAACAGCCCCATATCCCACAACTGGGATTAAAATGGAAACACATTCCTTTCTCTCTTTTTTTAAACTCTGTTTTTATTTTATGTGTATTGGTGTCTTACCTACACGTCTGTCTGTGTGAGACCATCAGACTCCCTGGAACTGGAGTTACAGGCAGTTACAAGCTGCCATGTGGGTGCTGGGAATTGAACCCATGTTCTCTGGAAGAGCAGCCAGTGGTCTTAACTCCTAAGCCATCTCTCCAGTCCTGAAATCACACTCTTAAAATATTTCTGGGTTGGGTTTTTGTTTTGTTGTTGTTGTTGTTTTAGAAACCAAAATGCCAGAATCCTCCCTACAGTGAGGCCTGCCATTAATAAACTCACTACTAAGGAGACAGAGGCAGTCAGATCTCTGAATTCAAGGCCAGCCTGGTCTACATACAGAGTTCTAGGTCAAGAATGAAGAAACAAAGAGAAGTTAACGTGAGTCACGCGTATAACAATGTTGCACAGAGATAAACAGGATGGAGGGGGAGGGCCTATTTGTCAGAGCATGGGGTGAGAAATGAGAACCTAAGTCTGTAGTAGAATTGAAACTTTAGCCTATTCTTAAGGTCTGCCTTCTGAATCTTAGTCTCCCTCCTCGCTCCTTTTCTCTCCTCTCTCTATTTTTGTTTTTTAGGGGTAATTTTTTTTTCTATCCCAGGGTGGCGTGGAACTCACCCCATAGCTCATGCTTTTGGGGTCCCTCTGTGACCCTCACAGGCTGCAGAGAGACAAACCTTGGGAGGCAGAGGCAGTTCTGCTCAGCACAACTCCTTTAGCTGATGTTGCTTCAAACTTCCAAAGTGATTTATTTTACACGTATTTAAGAACAACCCAGTTTGCTGAAAACTATTCTGGTTATAGTTAACTCAATCCCACATTTACAACAAAGTATCCATAAATTTCTCTTCAGAACAAAGAAAGCTATATACAAACATCGAAACTCTTTGTTAAAAAAAAAAAAAAGTCCATACAATTAGGTTCTGTGGATTTACTGAGAAAAACAAATTTATGATAAAGGTCTTAGGGAGGATCCAAGATCAAGTGCCAGAAAAGTCTCCAGTCACACAGCACAAAGGTCACCTAGCTGGAGAACATGTTCACTCCAGCCTGCTGGGCAGATAACATACCGCATTCCTTCCCTTGAAGGAACAACTCTGTGTGCTTACCACACCAGATTCCCCTAGTGCTTATCGGTGAGCATGGGGACCTTGTCGGTGAGCATGGGGACCTCGGGCCTCCTGTATATGCTTGCCTTTTTTTTTTAAAGGTTTATTTATTTATGTATTTGAGCACGTTGTATGCATGTATATCTGCACACCAGAGGACATCAGATAGGTGTGGGCTGCCATGTGGGTGCTGGGAATTGAGCTCAGAACCTTTTGGAAGAGCGGTGAGTGCTCTTAACCACTGAGTCATCTTTCTAACCCTTAGACTTGCCTTTAATTCAAAGCTGTCCTTGCTTCTGCTTCCCAAGCACCAGAGTTAGGGTTATACTGTGCTGTGTGCCCTGGACTTTAATTCTTGGGTCAAGATCTACGAAGATCTTTAAAACAGTATTTAAAAACAAATATTTTTAAGAAGATGTAGTCTACTACTTCATCCCTTAGGCATGCAATTTTGTGGTGGTTTCGCAAGAAGCCCTGGGTTTAATCTTTCACATTTCAAAAACCAGCTGTGGTGAATGCCTGCAATCCCAACACTGGGGAATTGGAGGCAGGGGACTCTGAGTTCAGGTTATCCTCCACTACATACCAAATTCAAGGCCAGCCTGAGGGACCAGAGACCTCGTTTCAAATAAACAAAGACATAGTCACATGTGCCTTTTTTTGTTTGTTTGTTTTTTGTTTTTTGTTTTTCGAGACAGGGACAGAGTTTCTCTGTGTAGTCCTGGCTGTCCTGGAACTCACTCTGTAGACCAGGCAAGCCTCGAACTCTCGAACTCAGAAATCCAAATGCCTCTGCGTCCCAAGTGCTGGGATTAAAGGCGTGCGCCACCACCACCCAGTTCACACATGCCTTTAATTCCAGGACTCCAGAGGCAGATGCAGGCAGATCTCTTGAGTTCCAGGCCAGCCAGGGTTACACAGAGAAACCCTGTCTCAAAGGAGGAAAAAAAGCTTGTTACTTCACTTTACAGTTTTTAAGAAAAGGTCTCAATATATAGTTCTGGCTGTCCTGGAACTTACTATGTAGTCTAGGCTGGCCTTGAACTTACAGAGATCCACCCATCTTTGCCTCCTGAAATAATATCTCTGTCAGGTCTACCTAGTATGCCCTTCCAGAAAAGGGCAGGCCCAGTCAACCTGGCCTATAGAAAGGTTTCTGGCAACCGCCTGCATTCCTGGGGAACTAGTGAAACCTGCTCCCCTCTGCCAAAAGAAGACATTTCTCTTACCTCTGGCAGAAGGGACAAATGGCTCTCCATCAACGAGTATTTATGATTTGCATGTCAAAGCCCATGCTGGCCTCCAGGCTCCATCTGTCCATATTCACACAAGTTAGAGCAGTCACTCAGCCTTTCTTTTACAACTCAGTCCCCTCAAGTAACATCTGGTGCAGAACACCCAGGAGACAACAAATGGACCCAGGGGCTTGTCCTCTCCTAACTGAACAGAGCTGCTGATCTGACTCTCCTAAGGCAATGGGTCATTTGTTCCTGCTGGCTTCTGCCACCCACCATATTCAGCTCTAAATTTTAGGGTCTGCTTCTCCAGCCTCTTGTCCTCTGCCTCCTCTAACCACACATCTGTCCCTGTCTACTCTGGTAACTGCCACCTCAGTGCTCTGTCCCTGTCAGTTCCTGGAGCCACCTACAACTATTACTACTACTACTGGGAGGGGGAGGGGGAGGGGGAGGGGGAGAGGGAGAGGGAGAGGGAGAGGGAGAGGGAGAATTCATGTCAGTGAGTCAGGAAGTTTCTCTTGCCCTAAAGGGCACCCATCACATGGAAAGGGATGCCTCTGTGTTGTGATTCAGAATATTTCTCTCTGACAAGTCTCTCTGTCTGATTGGGGCTGGTGCCCACTGAAGTTCTTGTCACCAGGCTGTCAGGTTCAAAGGAAACTCCCAGCTCCCCAAACTCCAAAGGATAGTCCAAATATCCAGAAATGAAGAGCTCCGAGTCTGGACTATAGGAGGATTTCTCACAGACTAAGCCTGCAGTCAGCATTCCTCAGGAACTTGTGAATCTGGCCTCCATCTTCTGAAAGGAGTCACTTCCCATCCTTAGGGCAGAAGGGACATATGACTACCCGTGGCACCAATTCGACATATCAAAATGCAAGGCGGTCTCCAGCCTTGATGTTCGTCAGAGAAGACTACTGGATATGGGTTTAAGCCAATAAGAAATCTTTATGCACCAACCAGAGACTACACTGTGTTTGGGATCCCAGTAGCACTGAGCTGTTCTCAGGGTGAGCGAGCTTTTAAGTGCACACATACACACACACAATGA